AAGAAGATGCAGAGGCGAAGATCAGACACCGATTTGCAAGCGAGCCCCGCAACGAGTTGATGGACATCGTACCGCAAGAGGAATCAAGTTAGCAATTTACATGGTGACGGATTGGTGACGTCCAGAAGTTTATGCCCTATGATTGCTTTCCGTGTGCCGACCCCAATTAGCAGCATGTGGTAGGTTTTGTTTCACTTCGAATTGACATGAATTGACCCTTGACGGCGACAGGTCCAAGGGTAGTTTGTCTCGCTCCCTCTCTGCAGATCGCTGTGCGGGAACTCTTGAGGAGGCAGAGGCTGTCCTAGTGGTTGCGGCCTCGTCCGGCGCGCGTGTACCATGTCACTTAGAAATTGAATTCGGGATGAACTAAGTACATATGAGAAGTGGAAAGCAGAGCCTGTTCGCGCGCTTGGAGCCGAGGGATTGGCCCAACACCATGAGCAGACAGAGTATGTTCGATATTTTTCGGTTTTCGGCACTACTCGCTGCCGAAACTCCTCTGAAGCTTCAGTAGATCGCTTCACGGGTGAGAGTCCAGTACCTCGTTCGGCAAACCCAGCCGTGTCAAGGACTGTTCTTCTCATGTCATCCGCAAGTCCGCACGAAACTGGCGCCGAAGTGTTTGCTAACTACGCCCACGGTCCGCAGATATCCGCATGCCTCAGTTGCAGTTGCACGGGATGGTGTTGGCGATGTGTGACAGAAATGTGTGCTGAGCCAGGCAGCCAGGCGATGCGAGGCAGTCCAGGTCCGGTGGTTTCGAGGTGCTTTGTACCTGGCAATGGTCGCTTGTCGCTTCTAACTTCTAAGTGACGTTGTCTTTTGAACTCGGCCTCGGCAAGCTGCTCTGCGTTTTTTGGGTGCTACAACTTCTTGGAGAGAAATTCAGAAGGCTTTTGGGGGGATTGGGACATTCGCCCTGTCATCCAAAAGTCAGGCGGCAAATCCACCAAAGAAATCCTGTATGCGGAGGTGCTCCCGCTCTGGCCCAACTGAGATGTTGCTTTGTGGAAGTTGTCTTCTCTTAGCTCTGCGGCCAAGTGAGCAGGTCCGAGTTGCTCGAGTCATCCAAACGATGGGAGTCCGGAGTACTGGCAGGGGCAGAGTAGGGTCTGACCAGCTCTCCAGCAGCGTGAAAAGGTCAGTTTCCTGCCCGAGATGACATGGAACCTCTTCGACTAGTATTCCAGCGTGAGCCGAGGACCAGAAGCTGGGTCTTCACATGGTGGAGGGTGCAAAGCTAAGCGACTGAGTTGTTATGTGGTGAGCACGGCAGCTGTTCCGAGCTGGTCGAGGTCCGAATATCGTCTGCGGTGACACTGGCAGTGCCAGTACCTGAGGGTTTTGCACGAGCAGATCTGGGTGAAGGATTATGGTTCTTTTCGGCATTTCATCGCGGCTTCCGACAGGGGTGCATGACTTCGCCAGGCAGTCATCTGAACTGTTTTTGCAGTTTCAACCTTCATGAGGCCGAGTCTGAGAGAGAGAGCCGCGTTTTGGATCAATTTGCAGTTCGACGGTCAAGCTGCCGGTAGCAACCGCGATGTGTCAACTGACCTGGTGGAAGTCCGAAGTATGGGTCGCCAATCATCCTTTGGACAAGCGTGACACTCAAAGACCAGGCGGCCAGCACCTTTGGACGGGGCAGACAAACACAAGCAGACGGAAGGGACGAAGACCTTGCGTGCGGCTTTCAGCCGTCCTGTTGAGGCGTCGGTGGTTTGTTTCTTGCAAAGCCGGCCACCACCGATCTCACATCGTCTGACTCCTGTCGTGTCTTGATGTGTGCACTGCGAGAAACCGTCGGGCAAAGCAGCTTGTGGCCAAGCACACTCAAAATGCATGCGGAGATGGAGCTCTCCCTCCATCCTTTAAACCTGCACGATCTTCAGATCCTCAAGTCCCTGGAAGTCTGCGGTGGGAACCCATTGTGACATGAACACATCCTCCATAATCGTGGTCGCCGCTGCAACACATCTTGAGGATCCTCGTTCAGATTGGTAGTCGAAGCTAGCTAGCACTTCTGGATTCTTGCTTCTCGGCCTCACCCACGGCTGGAAGCTGCCAAGCCAGCACCGTGTGGGGCACCCGAACTGCATGATGTGACATGCCTGCAGTGAAGTGTGGCCTCTGTGGGCGGTCTGACGGTTTTATGCTAAGTCGTCGTTGGAGCGGTAATCGATCTGTCGTCTCCGCTCCCTTTGTGAGTGGTCATTAGAAGGCCCTTAAGCGGGGGGGGTCCAAGGGGGGGGGTGGGACTGTTGCTGGGAATGCCTGCAGGTTTTCTTAGCTATGCTATTAAAACCCCTAGTGTTCCGTAGCAACTTTTCGTTTTCAAAGGCCTAAGGAATACCAAGGCTTCCCAGTCTTCCTGAGCACTCCTGATCGTAGCACGCGTAGCTAGATGTCGACCCTCAATTCTCTTCAGAAAGCTCTCTGTCTCTTGTGCCATATTCCATATTCCGGCAGTGCTTTGGCAGAGATGACAGTTAGAGTGTGCGGACGTGGCAAATCCCTTTAGGGGATGCCACGATATCACTGCCAGTTCTTCTCATGGTTGATGCGCAGCCGCAAGTGACTGTGCTGGATGCGATGAAACTGATCTTGGAATCAACAAACATTGATGCCTTGCGGAAATGCTGCAGGATTTGCCCATGGTTCTTGCTGCTCTGCGACTCATGTGTGGAGACAAGATGGTCGCAGCCCTAGAGACTATATAAGTCTTTCCAGTGTAGCTTGAAGACCTGAAACATAGCACACGAGTTCAAGAAGTTAGTTTCAGGCAACAGCATGCGAGTGTTGCGATCAGGTTGAGAGGTGGCAGGAGCGATTGCGGCAGGAGGAGACGGAGCAGACCGGCGAGCAGGCGAGGTTTCGGATCGCCGCAAGAAGCTGGCTGCTTCCTCTTTGGTGAATCATCCTGGATCTGCAGGAGGAGGAGCCAGGAGATGATGGAGAGTCGGCGACTTACAGCACTGTTCGGTTTGACTATTCTGGGTGCTTACATCCCCAAGGATGGATGAAGCTGCCAAGGAAGAAGCGGAACGCAAGGCCTGCATTCGACACTTCGTGTCTGAAAGATGCTGAAACGGGCCTTGATGCAGGCGCGTGAAGAAGAGGAGGAGGAACGGGAGGCAAGAACATATAGCAACGCAGCGTAAATCCGCGTACTTAGATGCACACTCGCCTTACGAGGCACGTGTTTCCGCTGGAAAACTGGCTGTGTTGTTCGTGGCCGGGGCGGCAGCTGCTGTTGTGAGAAAGCTTGCGCTCTCGCTTTGTCATGCTTTGTCGAGAAAGGCGTCCCCGGAGTCGTACTCCAAAAGCCCAAAGGTGGCTGACCAGGCCTCACGGACCTTCGAAGCTTTGCAGTCCCGCTTCGTGCTCTTGGAGGTCCGGAAATGGTGCGACCTGTCCGGGGCGCATTGTGATAACCCTGGCTCTCGATGGACACTTGCAGTGTCACATGAACCAACTGGCCCAGGTGCCCTGCTGCCGTCACCGGATGTTTTGGTGTACACTCTTGCCAAGTTTGCTGAGGAGAGGTGCGCTGCAATGTTCGAATCGTTGGGACAAGATAGCGTGTTGCGCAGTAAGGTCCGGCTCTTCGGTCACAACATGTCACCACGGTGAACCTGTGTGCCTGGGACGACATGTGCTGACATGCCCAAACACGCCAGTTCCTGGCAGTGGGGGCAGGGGCGACCCGGATCTTGAAAGGGACTGGCCTGGAGCCCAGCTCTTTGCAAGATCAATGCACGGTTGGACAGACACCTCCCGTCAAGAATGGCGTACTGTCAGCAGATCTCAGCAGTGTTGGCAAAATTGGGGACCTGCGCTGCAGGACACTGACCTCACTCCCCCATCGCAGGAGTCTCAGAATGTCTTGGATACCCGGCTCCTGCTGTGGGAGTTAAGTCTGGTCAAGGTGATTCGGTGACCTCGCTACCTGAACTGCCCGAGCCCAGTGGAGGCTCCCGGCTCCCCCCCTCCCGTGTCGTGTGGGGCATCCCCGCAAACCCTTCGCTCAAGGCTCGCCCAGCCTGATTCCCAGCAAGGCGTGGGCCCCATAAGCGCCAGCCTGAGATCGTCTGCGCCTCCGCCGCATGGCACATCCGTTTGAGCTGTTTTATTCATGGTGAGCTGTGCACATGCCGGTTGAGGTACGTCGGAGTTCTGCGCATGACACGATTCCGGATGCTGGCTTTGGACGGAGCAGTCAGTCAGACACTAGTGAAGTCAGCTTTGTCAGGCCGTAGCACACGGTGTGGTAAAGCCAAGATTGGGGAGTCGTTTACATCCAAAGCCGCATGTGCAAACAGCAGGCCGCATGTGGTAAGCGCAAAGCCCACGTGCTTGATTCTTGGATTTTCCCCCGCAGGGAACCGATGGAGCTTGCATACACCTTTTCCTCAGCCGCTTAGCCAAACCGACCCTGAGATGCCTTATAGCGTTAGACAGTTTCGGGGGCAAAGGTGCAATGATTTCGAGTTCTGGCCTTGCTGACCTTGTCGAAGATCGCGCAAAGGTCGCGTTGCGGCAGCTAAAGGCCCACCAAGGACTGCAGGAAGAGAGCTATGTTGTGTCAGAGCAAACCCGCACTTCGTGTTGTCTCAAGCTTTGCAGTGCCTTTGGTGTTGATAGTGCTAGTGCTTTGCATCGTCACCAAAGTGATGGGTGATGACACTAGCAATCCATTGGAAGCTTCGGCGTGCAGCGCCAAGAAGCCTTAGCTAAGCACCCGGCTCGCAGCCGTTGCCTTCACCAGGGCAAAAAGCGTGAAGGTGGCATGCTAACGGGTCCTGTGTTTTGCAGTCTCACTATTTCTTGATTGGGCCCAAAACTATGTAGTGTTGGAGCGTTGAATCGCGGCAGGTGTTCATTAATGATCGCATTGGACAGGGAAACGGAGCAAAGAAGCATTGTCAGATCAAAGGCAGAAGGTTTCGGTTTAGGGTTAGGGCGTCGACCATCGAAGGGTTTCAGAGTTTTGGGGGATGCCGGCATCCCAGCTAGCTCCGACTTCGCTGGGCCATGTCGCGGTAACTCGCGGCAGCCAGGTTGCGGTCACAGCGCGATTCGAAGGACTTGCGAGCAAGGCACAGCTCGAGACTCGAGATGGTCTGGGCTGTACTTCTGTTGCAGCAGCTAGTTTGCTCAAAGCTTGGCCGCAAGTACCCATGGCACTCGTCACTTTGTTCGGGTGGAACCGATGACAGGGCATGCGGGAGGTTTTGATGGAAAGGGATACTCGCTGTATTTCAGGGTTACGGCTAGTGCAGCAAGACAAGATGCTGGATCTTCGCGAGGCTTGGCTCACCCGCAAGCTATCTGTTCTGCTGCCTGTGGAGGGCCTGCCCAAGCAAGCAGTGGCCGCGCATTTTGCAATCATTACAAGGGCACCTTTGACCCTAAGGCAATCATGTTATGCCTTCAAGGCAGGGCTACTGCGTGTACCGCTACCCATTTGCTGGTACTGGGAGGGTTGTTGAAATGAGGACGAGCTGGTGTCGACTCTACAGCTTCAGCGCGTGGCCTATCTTCTGGAAAATGTTCCTCTGGAGTCACTGGGGCACCAGTGGTTCGTCGACTCAGCTTCCCAGAGAAAGATCTGTGGCCTGAGTGTTGGTCCGGGAGGCTCCGTGTTTCTTTCCTAACCAGCACCTGGCACTTTCCGGTTTCTGGTTTCCAGTTGGGAGGTCAGAGCAGCGTCGCGCTGCTGGGAGCGTCCGGGCGCCTCTGCGCCAGGTTGCCGGCACCGAGCTTTCAGCGTCTCGGCCTTGAAGAGCCGCTTCCAGGCGCGGTAGGGCCGGTAGGGCCGGCAGGGCAAGGCACATCCGTGCATGTAGATTTCTTGAGGCTTGAGTCCATTTGCTGGTGTTGGGAGGTGCCGCGAAGCTCCAGGCAAAGCTCTTGTCAGGCCAGCGTCACGTCGTCGTGGACTTGCCTATTTCGAAAACGAGGGCAAGGAGGGCGGCCAAGACGAAGGAACCGGCCACCAGCAGGTGGCAGTCTTTGACAGCGCCTTTGGGCGAGACCATCTCTTTGCGAGTGACTTGCCTCAAGGCCCTGAAGAGCACCAGCACGGCCCTTGCTTGCCTGCCTCCAAGGCTTACTGCGACCGAGAGATGGAGCCACCCTACGACTTCGCACCCTTGCGGTCTGTGTCCTCCCGCATGCATTCCCAGCAGGCAAGCCGGGTTGCATAGTCCATTGATTTCGGAGTTTCGGGCACTTGATGCACTTGCAGAATGCACAGGTGCCAGTCCAACATCGTTTACTACGTCTTGGACAAACCCTTCGCAGGCTTACACTTGCCCGTCTGCTGCCTTGCACATGCTCGTAGCTGCAGTCTCAGTTTGGCGGCTGCTAGGCCGCCTTTCGAACGCTTGGTGCTGGAGCCGTGGCAGTGGAACGATCCCCTGGACCAGGCAGCCCAAAGTGCCTCTCTGGTTGCACGGGCTCCATGTGCTGTGTTTCATTGTGTTTCGTTGAAAAAAGGGTGCCCGTAAAAGTATAGTAACTGGTTTGGCTTTGCGGTTTGCTTCCTTCGGTATTCAGGCTGCCCGGTTCTCCGCATCGTACGGCCAAGCTTGTGAAGATCTCCTCGATTGGCTGGGTGGGCTACATCTCGAAATAGATATGCCAGACGGAGATCTTGGGCAGGCCGTGGTAGCAAGAGCAGTCAATGCAACAACTGGACCTCAGCCTACTGAACTGTTACGAGTTATGAGGTCTCCAATCCTGGAATGGACACGGAGGCCGAGTCAGCTTGTAAGCGAAGGTGACATTTGTCACTTCCGAGCGTCTGAGGCACTTCTGTGGACTATGGGCGAAAGTTTGCTGGGACCTTCCCAAATCCTGCATGCCTTGCAAGTCTGCAAAGATGCCTTTGCGAAGCAGGCAGCCGCTCGATCAGATTTGAGGCTTTTCCAGTGTGCAGGAGCACCCATGATCACCCATCCAACATATGCAGATAAATCTAGCAAAGCTGATATTTGTCGGTGGAAGGAGTGGTTTTTACTCTCAATCTGGGGTGCAGAGGATGCGCCAATCTCCCATCATGGTGGTGCACATGGCTTGGATATCAGTGGAGCTCACCATGCACACCTTCTGTGCGTCCGTGGGAGGTCTGAGGAGCGAGAGGATCCACAAGGCTTGCTGATCGAGGGGGTGAACGCCCTTGACTCTGCAGCGTGACTCGATTTCTGACAATGGAGAATTGCCGAAGCAGTGCAAAACTGAGAAGTGGCATGACCTCGAGCCCACCGGGACTGTGGAACACTCCGGGCAGTGCATGTGTTAAACAGGGCAACAACAAATTCTCGCGACTGCGCATATCTGTGCATCGGTGTGCTATGGCGATGGCGTGTGCCGGGCCGGCGCGATGGTTGTGATGGTCACGACGTTCTGTCGGAGGTCTTGGGGCCGCGAGAGAGTCGGTAGCAATCTCCTCCCTGCTGTCAAGACCAAGGCAGCTTTCCAGCGCAAAACGCAGGAGCTTGGTACGCTTGCCAGCTACCTTTGTGTCTTCTTTCCCCTTAGGATTATGGGTGCAGGCAGGGTGTTTGACAATCCATTCCAACTGGAGGTGAGGATGTAGCATGGGTTTGGTCTGGTTTCAGTTTCAGGTCTTCTACGTAATATGTATCTATGTAAATACGTATGCATGTATGCATGCATGTATGTATGTATGTATGTATGCTCGACTGCGAGTGCTATAAATGTAGGTACGGATGGATGGATGGATGGATGGATGGAGGGATGGAGGGATGGATCCATGGATGCATTCATGCATGCATGCATTTGTGTAATTTTGTGTATGTATGGATGCATGTATGTAGGTGGCATGCATGCATGCTTACATACCAGCACGCATCCCCGAGATGCCAACATAAGGCCGCCTAGTTCGCAACACAGATCTTTGGCGGCGAGGGAAGAAATTTTGTTCCGTATGCTATGCCTGTGTACGTATGTAGGAAGGTAGGTAGGTCGGTATGTACGGCGTGTACCTGCGAACCCGTAGAACACCCCCAACAGCACCACCACGAATCTATATAACAGGTCACAGCCACCAACAATAACAGCAACAACTTCAATAGTGACTTCTGAAACCCCGTTCTCTTTTGCAGGCAGAACCCCGCTCGTAGTACATGAGCCACGTAGCATCGTCGAAAACTTGTCCTTAGCACCCCACCAACACAAACCACGCAAGCCAATCGCCACCAAATCTATTGCTATTCTATGTGAACGCAGAAGTTCGTCGCGACGCACTGGTTACGACACCGTTAGTACTAATTCGTACCGTTTAAGTGTACAAGTCTGCGTAAAATCACCTCGAGGCAAAATGCACCTGTGGAGTAAATGGAGACTCTGGAAGAGATCGAGGCAAACCAAACTACACTTGTCAAGTATCGGCTGCAACCCCGTTGCTACCAATTACATAAGAAACCTCTTCAAGGTACGTACACTTCCCAAAGACCCTGAGATGCACTTGTCAATCCCCAAACATAAGCAACCTTGTCGACCAAAAGCAACGCTTTTCACATCTGTGGCTGCTTTCTAGATTCTAGCTTTCGTATCTGAAACTTTTTTCAAAGTAACATGCATTGAGAACTCTCGCGGTTTGTGAGCACAGACTTCCGGCAATTCCTTCAGCTCAAGACTGCTGCCGAACGCGAGTAGTCGGCGGTCGCAGCCGGATCCTCAGAAAGCCTGAAAAAGAGCCTAGCTGTTGTTGATGGCAGAGCAGGTCGCTTTCGTCAGGAACACCTTCAGGGCAACTGCTGCTTACACTCGTTTGGCCCAGCCTCGACCCATGCAGGGCAGGTTCCTGGCGAATTTGCCTCATGTGCATTTCGAGTTTTCTCCTTGCAGGGTTTTTTCATCTGTATGGCAACGGCCGGCCTCCGGAAGCGAATGATCCAAAGAAGGTGTCTTTTCTCTTCTCCAAAGAGGCTGCGTTGAGCACCTATAGGCCTATAGTGCCGAGGCCCAATGAAGTGGCCGCAATGGGCAGTCGCACTGCTGCTGCCCTGCAGACCTGTCTCAGCTGCACTTAAAAGCAGGACAAGCTCGATGTCTCGTGCTGCTGTCAAGTTGAGCATGCAATGACTCAATGACTTTCCGTCGATTGCGAGGACTCCTGCGCCGCCTGGTTTGGACAGTGCGTTGGCTTGGAAGGAGTTCACGGATCCGTCTGGACAGCACTTTCAGCTGAATGTGCTGACGGGCGAAGCACAATGGGACTTGAACCGAGCACACAAAGAGACGGAGCCAGACAGCGAAATCGGAGCTGCTGAAAAATCGGTTGCAGCTGCACGAGCGAAGCCCGCAGAAAGTGCATCTTCAAAGCCAGTGACTCAACAAGCACAGATGCCAGACCCAGCTGCGATGCATGGTTGGTTGGATAGCTGGCTGGGATGGGGGGAGACCGTGGCGGATCCGGCATCACAAGAGGTACGTGCTGATGTGGCAAAGGATCTTGGGCTTCCGGCACCGCCTTCTGAGGCTCATGGGCTTCGGAGGCACACTGTCGAGGCAGTCCGCACGAAGCCCACAGCGGAATCACCCAGGGCAGGTCAGGTTCACGCAGCCGGTGCATACGCCAACAGTGGCACAGCAGGGGGCGTGCGTCAGAGGCGTGAACCTCAAAGAGAGACCCGAATCGCCATGGCCGATGAACCACCCACAGTCGTGACTGATGCAGCTGCTGAGGCCTGCTTCCTAAAATCCCTGTAGCTCACCGGCAAGCATCGGGATTCTGGCATGCGATGGAAGGAGATGTTGGCAAACATTGGCAGAATCCAGCCAGACCTGGAGCAGGCGCTTTCTGCCGCCTCGAGTCTCGACGAGTCTCGAGTGGCCAGTGCCTGGTGCCTCGTGTTTTCTCAGACTTCGCTTCAGGAAGCGATCCGGGACAGCGAGGCCAGGGATGTGCTGCGCCCTGCCCGGCAAGACGCAAAGTCAGCGCGCATCTCTCGAGGACGAGCTGATGCTTGAGGAGGTGGCTCGAGTGCTTCACGACCTGGAAGCCTCACAGGACGGGATACCGCTACCTGCTACCATAAAGCTTGGGCATGCATTCCTCTCCGCTGGTACTGTATGGGATGGCGTGCATGATTGTAGCAATGATGAGTTTCTTGAGTGGGGCATGTGGGTGCCGGTTCATCTTCACTTGTTGCAAGGAGAAGCTGCTGAACCGCCGATGAAAGGAGCATTCGGCTTTGAATCATCGTGCAATGTGGCAAAAGCGTGTTTTTGGATGTCGTGCACGTCGCAAGTTGTGGTGAAAGCAGTCAGAGAGTTGGACATCAGCTTTCGGACCTCACGGAAGCATGCTTGGGCATGGCGGCATGGAGTTTGTTCATTTCGCAGAAGCTCGAATCGTATGGGTCCCGGGTGGTTGGACATGAGATTTGCAACATGTTTCCAGGGGTCAGGGGGTATTCATTGCAGCGTGTACCGCGCCGTCAGCATCTGCATTCCGGACAACATGGAGACACATGCCGTCACTGGTTGAACCGAAACTTGGCTGCGGAAGCCCATGGGCCCGGTCGCACGCCTTTAGCTTTTGTTGAGCCGTGTTGGCCGTACAGCGTGATCTGAAGGCCGAGATCAAAAGGATCCACAGGGTTCAGAGAGCTTACACATGAGACATGTCGTCGGTATGACCGAGCATGTTCGGTTTCCTTCTGCGGTCTGCTCAGGAAATACGGAGTGCCTTTGGATCTGGCGCTGAGTTTCCTGAGTTGGCGCGACTTAGTGCCGGCCTCCACGGTCTGCACTGCTCCCTTGCTTTCATGGGGACAGAACGAGAGAGCTCAGCGGGACGAGTTCTTGTCTCTGCGAGGCTCTGCTGACTGCTGAGTCAGGGCGACCCCTTTGCTGCTGCAGCACGGCCGGGCCGCTCAGAGCCTTGCCGTCCAGCGATGGGGCCTTGCGCTGGCCGGGGGCCTCGGGGGCCCTGGGAAGTCGGGCTCCGAAAGGCCGCAGCAGTCTCCTCAGCCGAGGCTCGCCAGGCGGGCAGCTGACGGTTCCGGTGGAGGCGCCCGCGGCCACCGGCTGCATTCACTGCGTTTCCCATGTCTTCACGCCTTCACGCCTTCGCATTGTCGCTGTTGTTTGGAGGGCTGCACTGTCTGAAGATCAGTGCCCTGGCTGAATCAGGGTCGGGGGGGGGGGGGGGGATTTGGCTGCTTACTGTTTCTAGCGCATGTTCTGCAGCCAAGGCGACACGGCCTGCCACCACACGGATGCGGGAGCTTTCGCGATTTCCGGGGAATCTCGGCAAAATCGCAACACATCTAGCAGCTGCAGCGGCTAAAGCAGCTGCAGCAGCACCAACAACAAGAAAACAACAAGAACAAGAACAACAATAATAGCTGCAACACCGACCAAACAGCAGGAATACAGCCACAGCAAGCAACGGTAACAGCTTTTCAAGACTTTTTGGTAACGCCCAGGTCTGCGGGACATTGCGAGTATTGCACTTTCACAGCAAGGCGACCGGCTTCAGCAACAGATCCACAGATACAGGCTGATTAAGGTGTGTGGCTGGGCCATGACTGTCAGGTGGCGCGAGCATGCGAACCTCGTCTGACGCCCAGGGCATTGCAGATCTTGTTGGGCAGAGGAAGCAGGCGGCCCGCACTAAGCCGCGTGGTTCTTCATGGAGATGCTGCCACTCAGTCGCAGCTCCGCAGCTCAGTGGTGTAGCGTTCCGGTGTTGTGAGGAATGTCTCTCCAGGTGACGGATGCAGCTCTGGAGCTTCTGGGCGGCTGTCCCAAACTGCGTTCTCTGTGGCTCAGTTGCTCCGCCCATGTTTCCGGGGCAGTCTTGAAGAAGGTCGTCTCAGCTACACAGCTAGAGGACTTCGACCAACCTGTGGAAGCATGCGGCAACATGACACAAACGGTGAGGACCTTCGTCTTGACAGCTTGCTGAAAGCCTCTGGCTCTGACGTTGTGGATGCCATCGCAACGAAACCGCTGCGCTGCTTGTTGGTGTCCGATGCACCGCAGTTTGCCTTGCTATCCGGCTTGGAGGTGAGCCGCTGGCAGGCCATGGCGGCCATGCCAAATGCTTTTTGTTTTTCCATAACCCGTGGAGCCGCCCAGCTCTCGACACACGAGCACTGCAAGTCTGCAGGCGGTGCGGCGCCTCGGCATCTTGTTCGAGGTGGAGGGTGGATGCAAGAAATCCGATATCGCCCACGACACCTTGTGGTGTATCGTGGCTGCATAATGTGCTGATACTTTCTCGTCCTTCAGGCAGGCTGCCCAGCAGCTATGGTCGGCTGCCGATCGCTGGAAGCAGAGACAGCCACAGCAGTGGGGGCGTTGCCCGTGCTGGAGGCACTGGCCTTGGCGAACGTTCATGCCGCTGGGCATGCAGCAAATCACGGTTGCTGCTTCTGTATTCTGGCATGAAGTCCGTTGCGCGCCACCTCAGGTGGGAGACGTGCTGCTGCAGTCCCTTTGGCAGGGGCGTTTGCAGGTGGCCGCTTTGAGGTCCAACCTCCGATCCCTGTCGCTTGAGGGTGCCCATGGAGCTACTTTGCAAGGATTTCCGAGACTTCGAATCGTGCACAGACTTGGCTGGACTCTGAAGCAGTCTATGATTCTATTGCAGAGGAGTCTTGAACCTCGTGCGAGCCCTTGGACGGGATGATTCTTCATGTTGCAGATGTTGCATGACAATCGATGTTGGCATGCGCCTTGCTGGAGCACAGGGTCAGCCAGTTATGGTCCATGGTCAGCTAGCATTGTGGCTGTGCAGGACAGGATTCACGGCATGGGAACATGGATGAGCTGCAGCTTACGGCAAGCGGCTGAGCCGCAAATTTCATTTTGAACTCATCGCCTGCGTGCTGAACAAATTGACTTCTGAATTCCTGTAGTCAAAGTGAGGGAGCATGTGCACGCTCGTCAGACCGACATGAGGCCAGGCCTGTCCGATCGACGACGATGCACTGCAGAAGATTGTGAGCTGCGGGATCCGGTTCCTCACCCTGGAAGGTGCCAACATCAGCCCCCTGGCACTTTTGGCAGTTGTAGTGTAGTTGTCTCCATAGGGTTGATTCAGACAGCCCAGGGCCCAAGAGGCTGTCAGGTCCGGATTGCAAGCTGCGGGTTCAACTTTCGAAGCTGCTGCAGGATGTCGACGCTCGTCGTGTCGCATCTGAGAACGGACATCAAAGCAGAACATGGCCAACGCACAATCGGTCCGGTTTCGGACCCGACCTAGGACACCCAGGGTTCATTGGAGCTTTTGCGCCAAAGGTTGAGGCATTAAGAGAGGCAGGGCTGCGATTTCGCGTCCCAGATGTGAGAGTCTTTGCCTGGGCATCGAAGAAGGAGTTAGACAACAGGCAACACATGAGGAGGACAGGCAACGCATGAGGGGACTGAGGCCGACTTGGGCAGAACTTGTGTTCACCAGGAACACTGAATGACATACAATGCAATTTGTTCGCAGCCTCAGTTTCGGACTGAAGCCGACTTGGGCAGAACTTGTGTTCACCAGGAACACTGAATGACATACAAGGCAATTTGTTCGCAGCCTCAGTCTCGGACTGAAGCCGACTTGGGCAGAACTTGTGTTCACCAGGAACACTGAATGAAATACAGTGCATTTGTTTTGCAGCCTCAATCTCGGACTGAAGCCGACTTCGGCAGAACTTGTGTTCACCAGGAACACTGAATGAAATACAATGCAATTTGTTTGCAGCCTCAGTCTCGGACTGAAGCCGACTTCGGCAGAACTTGTGTTCACCAGGAACACTGAATGAAATACAATGCAGTTTGTTTGCAGCCTCAGTCTCGGACTGAAGCCGACTTGGGCAGAACTTGTGTTCACCAGGAACACTGAATGAAATACAATGCAATGTGTTTGCAGCTTCAGTCTCGGATTGAAGCCGACTTGGGCAGAACTTGTGCTCGCCAGAAACACTGAATGAAATACAATGCAGGACATACAATGCAATTTGTTTGCAGCCTCAGCCTCGGACTGAAGCCGACTTGGGCAGAACTTGTGTTCACCAGGAGCACTGCATGAAATACAATGCAAATTGTTTGCAGCTTCAGTCTCGGACTGAAGCCGACTTGGGCAGAACTTGTGTTCACCAGGAACACTGAATCAAGACTTGGGCAGAACTTGTGTTCACAAGGAACACTGATTGACATACAATGCAAATTGTTTGCAGCTTCAGTCTCGGACTGAAGCCGACTTGGGCAGAACTTGTGTTCACCAGGAACACTGAATGAAATACAATGCAATTTGTTTGCAGCCTCAGTCTCGGATTGAAGCCGACTTGGGCAGAACTTGTGCTCGCCAGGAACACTGAATGAAATACAATGCAATTTGTTTGCAGCCTCGGTCTCGGACTGAAGTCGACTTGGGCAGAGCTTGTGTTCACCAGAAACACTGAATGAAATACAATGCAATTTGTTTGCAGCCTCAGCCTCGGACTGAAGCCGACTTGGGCAGAACTTGTGTTCACCAGGAGCACTGCATGAAATACAATGCAATTTGTTTGCAGCCTCAGTCTCGGACTGAAGCCGACTTGGGCAGAACTTGTGTTCACCAGGAACACTGAATGAAATACAATGCAATTTGTTTGCAGCCTCAGTTTCGGACTGAAGCCGACTTGGGCAAAGCTTGTGTTCACCAGGAACACTGGATGAAATACAATCCAATTTGTTTGCAGCCTCAGTCTCGGACTGAAGCCGACTTGGGCAGAACTTGTGTTCACCAGGAACACTGAATGAAATACAATGCAATTTGTTTGCAGCCTCAGTCTCGGACTGAAGCCGACTTCGGCAGAACTTGTGTTCACCAGGAGCACTGAATGAAATACAGTGCAATTTGTTTGCAGCCTCAGTCTCGGACTGAAGCCGACTTGGGCAGAACTTGTGTTCACCAGGCACACAGAATAAAACACACTGTGTTCACCAGGAACACTGAATGAAATACAGTGCATTTGGTTTGCAGCCTCAATCTCGGACTGAAGCCGACTTCGGCAGAACTTGTGTTCACCAGAAACACTGAATGAAATACAATGCAGGACATACAATGCAATTTGTTTGCAGCCTCATTCTCGGACTGAAGCCGACTTCGGCAGAACTTGTGTTCACCAGGAGCACTGAATGAAATATAATACAGTTACAATGCAATTTGTTTCCAGCCTCAGTCTCGGACTGAAGCCGA